GTTAGAAGCAGTAGCTCCCCCTGCTGGGGACTGATGGCACATCAGTGAGTTTATAAAGAAGAAATCCTCACAGTGGGAAGTTTTAATGGATTGAACTGGAAGTATTGGGAAAGAAGGCTATGCTAGCACGCTGCTGCTGGTGAGACGGATCTCCTCATTCTTTCAACATCAGGCACCTCTGATCACTTTCATTTTAAAAAGGAGCTAAAAGCAACTAATCGTCCGTCGTCATGTCAACCACCGGTTGTTAGGATGTCACCTTCCTGCAGACTGGCTGAGATGGATGTGAAGGTCGTAGAACCTCTGAAACAGAACCGTCGATCAAAAGCCTCTGGAAGTTAGAAACGTTAATTATTCACGTTTTTCTGCCTGATTCAGTTTTTTTATGAAGATTGACTCTTTTTTTAAGCAGCTGAATAATTTCATTTGAAAGCAGTAAGAAGCAAAATGTTTCACTAGTTTGTCTCAAACCTTCTGCGGAACTTTTTGCATTGTTTACCACTAGGTTGAGTATATCTACGCTGGGATGATCGCCCGGTCCGTGTTATAAAACATGGATATGATGTGATTTCTGTTTTCTGCAGAGATGCAGGTTGAATAATAAAGCAGAGATCCCAGAGGAGTCTTCCTCAGCCAGTCTCCCACAGCGGCTCAGTTTGCTGGGATGGAAACAGGAAAACCAGGAGCTGAATATGAATCAGGGATATGTAGGCCATGTTGTCCAGGTAACGGGAGCGCTGAGCCTCTTCTGGTCCTGGAGGCTGATGCCCGGTCTGCCCGCAGCGAGCAGAGCAGCCGCTGGTTCACCGAATGACCGGTGGGAGCAGGAAGGGATGGACAGAAATCATAGAGCTATGGGAACAGATTGGGTTTACCTCCAAATGTCTGAACCAGCTCAGTGTGACACCCTCCAGAATATAAGGATGATTTATGAAGTAGAAAGGGGTCCTGATTGGAGCCTGCTGACAGGAAGTGACACGATTGAAGCTCCTCCATCAGCGTGATGCCGGTAGCTTCACTGAGCCGTTCTATTTCTGATGCTGGGATGTTCTCTGGGTTTTCTGAGCAGCGTCTCTCGGGACGCCACCAAACACGGAGCGGCTCATTACGCAGCAGCAGCTTCCAGAACCGCCCGCTATTATTCAGGGATGTAAAAGCCAGAGTGGGTTATGAAGGCATTACACCAAGATTACAGAGGATAGTCTGAGCCGCCAGAGAGTGAGCAAGGAAGATTAGAATAAAAAACCTGGATGCAGATTTACAGATTAAAAAACTCACATCTGTAGCATCCAAGAAAGAGAAGCTGCATGTAGGTCAGCGAGCACCTGCTGGATCCACGAGCCATCCATCGGCAGCGGGACCAGCAGTCCTCCTGCTGAGAGCCACAGGATGCACTGGTTCTACTGGGTCAGCCCCATAAACAGGAACCTGCAATCAATCTGATGACCAGCAGCGTCTATGACTGAAGATGGATGATTATAGAAATGCAGCTGGTTAATAAATAATCAGCCGCTCTAAATGAACCGTCCTGTGAGCGACGGCAGGATCGTTGTGTCTTTAAAGCAGATCCCAAACAGAGACCTTCTAATCGGGGCAGTTTGCCATCAGCCAGGCTGGCTTAATGGGATTTCCTGGACAGCTGTTTCCAAGACGGCTTTTTCATCTCCAGCTTACTAAGCTTTAATAATCTGCTTTAATAACCGACCAGATGAAGGAGGAGAACCTCCAGTAGTTCAGCAGGACCACCAGAGAGGAGCTCATAGATCGACCAGCTAGCATCTCCTACAGAGACGTGCTGAGCTAGGAGAGGAGTCTGAGCAGGAAGTCGGGCTCTGGGCGTCTGGAGGCGTAGAGAAAGACATGGCGGCGGCAGAATCAGCCATTTGAGGGGAGCGTTTGCGGCTTTACTGATGTTTGTCTGCAGTTTAAGCCAAAAACCAGACCAGAAAAAGCATGAAATCTGTTTTATCAAGTTTTTCTGATGCGACGATTTAAAGACGTGGAAACGTCTGCTGATTATAAATCAGAGGCGCAGCCAGAACCTTTAATAAGGGTGTCCAGGCAATAACCAATGATCACTGAGGGCAGAAAGCAGATAAGCTCCAGAACCTCTGGATCCATCTACACTGTTCCAACAGGAACCAGAACAACATCCATGTTTTCTAAATAAAGACTAACTTTACTTTCCTTCAGCCTTTGCTAACAAACAGACGCAAATGTTTAAACATCCATGCTGTCTAAATTAAAGGATAAATTCTTTCAACTTTTAGTTCTAGGGCGAACATCTTATTCATCGTCTTTACTTACCTTCTTTTATCAATAATTGCTCTGCATGAAATTAATATTTACTAATATCTACATGAAATTGATTACTTATTATTAAAGTAGTTATTTATCTCTGATTTCACTGAAGACTCAGAGATGCAGACATATAATTTTCTCTTTACCCCACATTAGACAAAATCTAGTTCTGAAAAGAGCAGGAATTTTTTATTTATAATCTTTAAAGTTAGTATATTGATGAGCATAATTAACCACAGGGTTTTTGTTGTCAAGTAATTGTTAATATATGGAGAATTAAAATGTTAAATAAGTTAGAACATTCCACTTGTAACTGTATTGCTGCTGCCACCATCTGTATTAGAGGAAAGAAATGATAGAGGTGGCCACAGGGGTGGCCAACGATTGGCCATGGCCACCCCTGGCCCCCCATAAGGCTCCGCCCCTGTCATAAAGTTCATGGCCTCCTTATCAACCTTGTTAATGATCCAGCAGATGGGGGGGTGCATCCTCAGTACGTCAGGAATCAGTAGTACTGTGAGCTCCAGTCTGGTTCCCAGCCACTGGTTTAACTGGGACCAGCTGTGAACTGTTCCGTGTTTCTGTCAGCAGAGACTCAGCTGATAACTTTGCTTCCCTGTCAGCCTGAGGCGGTTGGTCTCCCAGCAGCAGGCCCTCCTTCCTTATTCCTCCGCCCTCCTCTTCCTACGGCTTCACCTCCACCAATTAGGAGAGCAGCCTCCAGGAAAAGAACTACAGAAAAACCAAGCTCCCCAAATGAAGCTCTCTGTTAAAAAGCATTGGCCTAGTGGTTAGAGCAGAGCGCTGTGCTCTGAGAAGGTTGAAAGTAGCCGGTTCGATCCCCACAGCCTCCACTCTGGGTCCCTGAGTAAGACCCTTAACCCCACACTGCTCACCGGGCACCGCACGATGGAAGCCCACTGCTCCTCAAGGGGAGGGGTGGAATTCAGAGGTGGATTTCTCCAATGTGAGATCAATAAAGTTCAATCAAAACATCTGAAGGTGTTAGCATTAGCATTAGCACACAGAGAACAGGGAGGGAGTCATGGATTTCTGTTAAACCATACGACTTTCCCATCAGTTCGTGTTGCATCAACCAATCAGGGCCTGGATGTAGGCTGGAGCAGCGCAGCGGAGAGGAAGGAGAGCGGGAGCCATAAGGTCTGGATGCTTTTTAACTGTTCAGTCAGAACAGGACCGTCCCCGTCTTTGCTCCACCTTCCAGGCGGTCCGTCCCCGGAGCAGGATCAGCATCCTGGACAGCTCCTGGAGGCGGGAGCATCTCTGGTGGCGGCGGTGTTCGACTCTCCACATTAAACCCAGCTCCGCCATGAGAAGCTGCACAGATAGCAGGCTAGCAGCGCACTGATGACCTGCGACCTGTTGGCCTGGGGTCAGGTGGTCCTCAACAGCCAATGAGAGCAAAGAACTGGCCTTGCAGCAGGATAGATATTCATGAAAATGTTGAAAACCATGAACCACAGCAGACTAAAGTGGGCGTCTGAAGGCCCCCCCCCAGTGCTGGTGTTGTGAAGCAGGGCTCAGTCTAAGCTTCTATCTTGTTCTGATCTGTAGGAAGCTGAGCTAATCAGCTCAGGCTGTCTGCTGAGGTCACTTTATCCTGGTTGAGCTGCTGCCTTTGAAACGCCTCCAAGTTGATCTAAATGTTGACGTCTAACTGGACGGCCTCCCGTATGCCTGATCGGCCTGATGCTCCTGTCTCCGCTGCTCCTCCATGTTAGACAGACTTCCACTCCATCCATCTCAGAGCTCATTTCTTCTCCCTGGGTTTCATTCAGTGGAAGACTTTTCTTCTATTTTAGATATTGTTTGTTTTGTTTTTCAGTTTGTGCAACAATTTGGTGAAACGCAGTTATTGTAAAATGTTTTAAAAAGACAACAAACCTACTCTGAGTTCTACACTGCAAAAGAAAGAAATCTAAATAAGTAATTTTTCTTCTTGAATTTGAGGAAGTAAGTGAGACACTTTGCCAGACAATTTACATTTAAAGTAAGAAAAAACTATTGCATTGTCTTATTTCAAATGCATATTATCTAATGACCTTATTTTAACAGGAAAAATACTCATTCCATTGGCAAATCTACCTGCCCAAATTGAGGCTAAATAAACTTGATTTAAGAAGTCTTAGATCGTTTTTGCAGTGTGTTACTCAGGTCCATCTGAACTGCTGAGTTTATCAGAACCATCTGAGAGCAGCATGCTGATGATGATGATGATGATGATGATGATGAGGAGGAAGTTCAGTAGAAACTGGCTGAATGCTGCAGCCCATCCAGCGCTGATGAGCTTCTCTGCTTCACACTCATGCAGAAATGATTTGCATGAATTAGTTTCAGACCAGAGGCTGTCAGGATGATTCACCAGAGCCCCCACCCCCCATACCCCCTGTCCCATTACGTCTTCCTGGGGTGTTTTGGTATTAGTCCTGCATGGGCAGTAGCATCAGGCCCACAGAAGTGGGGGGGTCTGCCACATGCCTCCCTGCACAATTATTCAGTGTGCATAGAAACAACAGCCCCTCCCCCACCCATGCTGGACGCCAGCAGAGCAAACAGAAACACTTCTGATTGTTCCACAGATTTAAACTTCCATGATGTTTGCGCCGTGCATGATTGAAGCGTGGAAGCAGAGGATGTGGAACATCAGATCCTCATCATCATTTGATCTTTTCTTTCAGGTTTGCTTAGCGTGTCAGCAGTGGTGTTAAAGACCAACAACCATTCCCCGTCCACTGATGAATTTAACAGTAAGTTCAGACACGATGAAAACTGGAAAGCAGCTTCCTCTCCTGACCGGCTGCTTCCTTTCCTTCGCAGAGGTGGAGCTATCATGTTTGATCGAGACCATCTCTACAGCGAACCCCCGGATCGAATGGAAGAAGTTTACAGACGGGAAACCGAGCTACGTTTACTTCGACAAGAGGATCTCAGGTAAGCTGTCCTGAACCTCTGCTCCGCTGCTTCTGTCTGAACCTCTGCTC